TCCACCACCCCCAGCCCCACACACTGCAGAGCTGAAGCCTGGGGGTACAAATAAAGGTTGAGAACCAGTGCTCTAAAGCAGGGCAAAATGGCAGATCCAGCCATTCCATTTTCCAGAAGCCACAGCCCACATCGCTGCAGCTGGCTTCCATGGAAACCCCAGGAAGGAGGGAGCTGTGACCGTATGGGGCCAGGGTTTTCATAGAGACCGGCCCCAGCAGTGCTGGCAGGGTGCACAGCATGGCAGGGAGCTGCTTTAGGACTGGGATTTGGATCTTGAAGCAATGGCAGCGTGGTCTGGAGCCCAGAGCCACAGTCTGCTGGCTGCATGCGCCTGCCTGGCACCCACCATTCTGAGCTACACGGACACATTAAATATTGAGCCCTAGCATTCTGTGCTCCATTTTAATGAGGATGAATTGTCACTGGTACGAGAGAGAGAAATTAAGTACAGTTGTTCCACAGTTACTCAAATCAAAATATGCACATGCTTGGGAAGGTAGGTATTTTATTACAAAGGCATCTTTGCTTTGTTCAGTTGTAAGTGAATATGTGGAGAGTCTGATGTTTCACCTCACGTGAGAGATTTAAAATGTAATTAGCCTTGTATTCTTGGAGCAGCAGGAAATAATGCTGTATTTCTGTGTTTTAGACGTCCAGGTTACTTCATGGAAACCAGTCAGCTCAGCTCATTCTTTCTGCTGCTTTTCCACTACAACAGAGCACTTTTACTCAGTCTCACCACCCGCAGCATCAATCGCAGCAACAGCCACCGCAGCAACAGCAGCAGCAGCAACTTTCGAGACATAGAACTGACACCATGACTGATCCTTCCAAAATTCAGCCACAGTAGCATGAGGCTCTGCTTCTTCTGGAAGCAAACTGCAGGGAGGGGCTGCTCCATTAACAGTTGCACTGATGATAGTAGAGGTAGAAGTCTGAAGGCTTTATAAAATACAGTATTGAGAGCTCTGCTTCTAACTTCTGGAACCTGTTTGCAGAAGGTAATATTGCAAGATGCTATTGAGGTACCTTAGGTAAAAGAAGATGGCAGGGACAAGGCCAAGTTTGACAGTGTTTTAGTTGCCCCAGTGTCTGTGGTGTTTTAAAGGATATGCTGCCATGTTTAACTTGTCCAGATCCAGTCACAAACCCTAAGTGAACTGAAAGGGCACTAAAAATGTTGGTATTTTTTTATCAGTCCTGTAAATTTATAAAGTGTTACAATGGACATGCTGTTGCTGTAGCAGTTGTTTGAATTTACTTACAATAATGCTACACAAACAGTCCAAAAGACATGACATTTTTTTCAGATTATTATGGGACAGTAAATATTTTCAAAATATTGTGTGGAGTCAAATTCTCTATTGTACAGATGCTGTAAAATATTGTGTATATGTCTGCATAAAAGGAGAGAGAGCAAAATATTTTATATGATGCATGAAAAAAGTAATCTGTTATTTGTAGGTTTGAATATGTTTCCCTAAATTCTCCCACCATGCTCAGACTAATATTTTCCTCTGTTCTACCCCTTGTTTACAACATGATGCATCATAATTTTCACCCGTAGTATGGGCACAAGTCTCTTGTTTGTGCTTTGTCTGTGATGTCACGGTTTGTTCAGTGAGGTATGGTGTGCTGGTTAGTTGACTTTTTGGGGTTAAATTATTGATGAAACTGTTTGAACTGACAGTCATGTTTCAGGGTTCAAAACGTTCGGATCCGTAAATATCATCCATCATTTCATAATTATACATTGTTTTTATTGAAAAATAGGAATTTGCACTGCTTTACTGTGGATGGTTTGGAATTTTACTCCCCAAAGCTATCTTTTGATATAGTTCATAGTTGGAAATATTTATGTAAAAGGTTTAAAAAAAACTATATGAAAGTAATTTTCAAGAATGTTTCAGTTATAGAAGTAATTTGCACAAAAATATATTTACATTTAATAATGTTTTAGGCACTTTTTAATCACCTTCTCTGTGGTGAGAATTGTAACTTGCTAAAATATGTTGGAATCTTTTTATTCTCCTTTCAAAATTAGACGTTTCTTTAGTCAGAACTGATTCAGGGTCATTTTAAAAACAAAAAAAAAAACAACAAAAAACCCATAGTGCCTTGATTTTAATTCAGGTGATAACATTGAACATCTTGATTATGTTGTCTTGAATCTGTAACCATTTACAATTTTGAAGTCTTGGTACATTGTCAACAAAACCTGTGTCTGCTGCATAGCTGTTTCTCTATAGTATTAATTTATACAAGCATTTGAACAGTCGTCGGAGTTGAGATCCTGAGCATTTTTTAAAAGAGTGGAACACCATTCAAATGCTAATCTGGAACAGATATATGATTTACCTTGAAAGTGTTCGAATAGTAAAGAGAATCACTCTCTAGTGCCTCCATAAGAGAGATTATTAATTTAGGGAGAACATAATCTGAGTTTTTTCAAAGAGATTATCTTTGTTTTGAATTTGATAGGAAAATAGGTATTTAGGATTGCACAGGTTAATACTATCAGATTATTGATATAAAAGGGATACCACTGAACAAAGACTTCAGAAGGCAAACCTCACTTTATAAAGATGATAAAAAGTTCCAACAAATGATGTACTATTTTTAAATCAGCGCTCAGTAGATTTTATGGTACTAGATTTTGAAAACTACAGCTGCAGAGCAAAATGAATATATACAAAGATGGACCTAGTAGTTTAAAAAATAACAATTAAAACATAATAATGAAAAGTAATATTAAAGAGGGAAAGGTTTTAGAGTCAAGCTGAATTACGTCTGAGTATTAGGGAGGAGTTGTATGAATGTAACCAAATAGTGGTGGAATATTTCATATTGGGAAGTTTGATTGTATTATTGAATGAACAAATGCCACTGAAAGGTAATATGAGGCTAGCGATTATTAGCCTTCTTTCGCAAGATAGTCTTGCTTTCTCTACTGTATCCTGTTATAAGATTCTTCTTTTCTCCATGTTCCCCCACCACAGCACAGCATCCCAAAATCACAAAGCAAGTTTAACATTGGTTCCTAGAGAACCACTGTGGAAAAGGGAGAAGAGTATAAGGAATGAATAACCAAAGAGAATTGGATTGGTTTCTGCTCCGAAAAGCTGCTTGTACCCAGGAGCAAGGAACAGATACCAATATTAAACATATCAAGGTCACTTTCTAGCTCATGCTAGCGGTTTCTGTAATTCCCTGAGCCAGCCTTGTTGTCAGAAAGTTTTGGTTTTTAAGTTTTAGAAAAGTAAGTCTTCACTGACTTGTATTTTTATTTCAGACTGTTTCCTTAACCCTGCTAGACCGTTCCACTTGTGTCCAAAATTAGGCTTTGTTGACTAGAGGTCTCGGCTACCAAGATTTTACGTAGTGGAAAATAGAAATCTTAGACAGGTTTTCAGTCTGACAATAATAAAATGGCACTAAAGAAGAAAACTGGGGGAGTTTGAATTGTAATGCTAAAACAAGCTGTTAAACTGCAGTACTTGCAGATACAGAACACAGTTAGGACAGGTGAAGTGTGTTTTGAGGGTGTAGGCTGTATCCACATTGGTCTAAGGACAGGTAGACTAGGTTCTTTGGATAAATGTGCTATCCTTTATTAGACCAACTAACTTGTTAGAAAACTTGTTCTTTGCAAGCTTTCAGGTGCAACCACCTTTCTTCAGGCATAGGGAAAGTTTAGTTTGTAGCATTTCAAATCCTCCTTCAACTCCCCAAAATTCTGTGGTTCATTAATATACATCAGATGATAAGAAGGCAACCTGAGATCTGTATGAGAGGTTGGTTATAACAAGGCTGTTGGCAGAGTATTACAAGGAAACATACTTTAATTGAGAAGCCTTCCCTAACCTCAGAGAGAGGTCAAACAAACAAACAAACCCTATGTTTTCCTTGTTAGCTGAAAGAGGAAGGGCCAAAAATCTAACTGGAAAATTATTGCATAAGTTTGACAAGTTCTTATCACAATTCAGGCAAACTTTAAAGACAAAGAAATTGGTATTTCACCAAGCTTGAATATGATTGATAAGGCCTGGTTTAAATCGCAGGCCCAGCTCATGGTGCAGTGGCTCCTTTAATCTTGCAGATTCCCCCCCTTTCCGGCCCCCTCCCCTCCCCCACCATGAGCCTCCCACCTCATTACTTGCTCTTGATGGCTGGGAGGCAAAACTGTTTTTTTAAATTTGCTGCAATTCTTGCCTCCTGGTCAGGAGTAAGCAGCAGAGCCAACAGGGCACATCTGCCAATTGGAGTCGGGGATATGTGAGGGGAACTCCAAGACTAAAGGAGTTGCTGCGCTGTGAGCTGGGCCTGCAATGTAAACCAGGCCCTAATGATTGATGTGAACAATTTATTTTGCTTCACCACTTGCTACTAAAAATTTGCACTAGAAAAAGCTTATTAGAGGCAATTGCAAAACTCCTAACAACTTGGAGAAGGGGGAGAGGTAGAGTGGGCCTTCAGCCTCTCTTTTCTAATCCAAGATCTTTTTGCCTAACTCATGCATAGTCACACATCTGTGGTTTGTGACCTCCTATTAGTTCCAGTAACAGTAAAAGGTATGATGCCACAGGCTCCAGAGCATAATGTCACACAATAATTCTGGCAGGAGGGAAGAAGCTGGTTAAGAAAAGATTGTGTGTTTATGGGCAAATATCATGGTGATGTATGAGGAAGCCAGAAAATACAGCATGGTTTTTTAATGGTATTTTGGAGTGAAATAAAATTTGCCTGGGTTGTGAGGATTCAAAGAAAAGTCTCAGAGAATTTCAGAGGGAAGAGAAATATAGCTATTTTTATATTATATTTAATATATATTATATTTGTATATAAATATGAAAAGATTCTAGTGAGAGCTGTCTGTATGCCTTCCAGTTTACCAAGAAGTGTACCTCCTGGAGCTATGGCCCCAGGGCATCACCACCTTTTACAGGCTCTGTGCTTACCGCCAGTCTCCATCCAAGTTAATGTTCCAACATTCGTTCAACAGATAAGTCCCAATTCAGCAAGGTGGCTAATGCTAAAGGTGTGAGTTATCCCTTTAAGTCAACATTCACGCGCACGCCGCTTGTTGAATAGGATTTTGAATTCTCACCAGGGCCCATGCAAGCAAGTTTTCATGGGAAAAGACTGAAAAGACGCAAGACCCAAGTTGCACATTGTTTTCTTTTTCTATAGTTTGGAATAATGATAAGCACTTTACTAAAAGTAACCATGTGGAAAGCAGTTTATTATTTTGGGCAATGGAGCTGTTCAGAGGTGCCCAAGGGAATCAGAATGTAGAAAATTGTCAAACTAGGGGCATTTCTGGAAAATGTTTCTCAGTAGTGATTCTTTGAGGCCCCAAGTGTAAGATTCAAGTGGCATCTAAAATTGGTTGGCTTTGTTTTAATGTGGCCAGGGGAAAGACTCCACGATTCCTAGCTTCCTTAGAGGCGATATTTTTCAAATTGCACAATTGTCTATGAGAGAGAAACCATGAGGAAACTCATTAGCCTGCTTAATAATTCTAAGTAGCCCTTAAGATTATAATTTTCATTAAAAAATGTGTAGAAGGTTTACAGATGTGGCCTTTTTAGACTGTTGCAGTCACCAGTTCTGAACTAGTTTGTATTTCTAGAGAACACAAGAATTCATGAGTGTGTCAAAGGTTATGACACTGGGTAATGTCAGCATGTTCTTGGTAGATTTGTAAGTTTCTCGATTTGAAACCAGCTTGAAACAAGCTGCACTCACTCGAGTGTTGGGGAAGATGGTTATTTTCATTAAAAAACAGAGAGAGCCTAGTTTAGTACTGAATTTGCTTTATACTTATACCCAGTGGAACAAGTTGGTGATCATTTGAAATAAATTGGGATAAAGACTTTTGTATGCAGTATATTTGAAGTTCAATGTTGAACAGCTCATAGTAAATAAGGCAAACATTGAGATTTTTAAATTAAATTTTGTTGTCCATAATACTGTTTTGGGTAGTTTTTTTTAATAACCTGATTTTAACACTACATTCCTTGTTTTTTCTTTAATAAACAAGTAATTTACAGGCTCTGTTTGCTATGCTTCATGCTTTGTCATCTGCATGGGTTTTGTACCTGCGATTAAAAAAAAAAAAAAGGAAGAAAAAAAACACACAAAACAAAACACTGTGTTTGAACAAAATACTGTATGGCCTAATATGGAGACCCCAGCTAAGACTGAGAGGTGCTGCACTAATAGGCAATCAATATGACGACTATTTATGAAAGACTTTTGGGAATGGTATTAAAAGAAGTAACTGCTTTGAAAGCAGTAAATGGGTTTTTTAAAATAAGAAATGGGGTAAAATATTTATTTTAAAATATATCAATTAGATTGAATTTTGAGTTTTTAAGCAGTGTTGATTTCACAGTGTCTTGGATTTTGGTTTTGTATTTTTTAACTGGCATTAGATTTGTATATGTAGAAAACTAGTGCCGCTCATATTGACGTCAGGAAATGTAGAAACAGTTCCCTGGTGTTCATGTGACCATTACTAACTGTCATTTTTTTAACTGAATAAATGTAACTCATTTGAAATCCTGCCTCTTGTAGCTTCTGAGGTTCTCAAAACTTCGAATTTTGTTTGGTGTCATTTTTGTTTAGAGGGTTGTAGTGCTGAAGTCTTATTTCTACGGATGTACAAAGGCACTTCCTTTTGTAATCTTTTCTCACTCATCCAGGTAGGTAACAGTGGCCCTAAATCAAATGTGTGCATTGTATGTTTCTTGCTGCTCTGTACTTCCTTGTGAAACAGTGGCCTGTCATGAAGGATAGACACACATCAGTGTTTCTTGCATATTCTAATGTTTTCAGCCTGTATGCTGGGTGCATATAAACTGTCTACATTTTAATTAAAGAAACCTGATGTTTCAAATAGTGGTGCTATGGGGTCAGGCTCTGAGAAAAACGACAAATTCTGCCCTCCTGGATCTCGCTTTCTCAGTGGTTCTCAATTTTTTTTGGACTCCAAGCAACCTCCATAACTTGTGACTTGAATGGCATCCAATTTCAAAAAAATATATACGTTACAGTGCTTTAGTTCCTTGCAGAGGAGCTGGGCAGTGGAGGTGGGGAATTATTCAAGGCAGGGACAAACCTGAGCCTGCACGTACCTATTTAGCTTATCTGTTTAACTCCTCATGTCTTGTTTATCTCCTCACACCTCGTGATGCCCTTCAAAGGATCTGGCTGCACCTTGGTTGAGAAACACTGACATATATAATCCCAGTGATGTGCTGGTGTGTGTCTGCATTAGTATCTGGAAACTGATTCAGGCACTGGTGTTTGAACAACATGTACAACATTGAATCTTTATGCTTCACTTCTATTCCAAGCATTTTTAAAGCACTCGTACACTCATTTAGCTGGGGCCTTATTTAGATCTATAAATTGAAATGTATAAATGGAGATCTGGGATAAAAAAGCCTGACTAATACGTTTTAACTAACCAAACAGGGCCAGATCTTGCTCTCCTGTTAAAGTAAATGCAACTCGTTTCCAAACCAACTCTGGAATTACAGGTGAATGAAAAGTGAATTTGGTCTGTCAGGTCCAATGCCAAAGTGGATTTGATGACTGCACAGGCCCTATAATCAAAGCACAGATAATAGGGGAAGTTGGTAACTATATTAAAACATGTATTAAATTTCTGGGTCAACAAGCTGTTACATTGCTAATGGGATGGCACTATCAGATCTCTTCATGTTGGAAGCTAATTGTTAGAAATGAACCAATGTATCAATCACATATCGGATCAGCATGGATAAAAGCAAAATAAACATTATCAGCAATTGGCCTTTTATGGCTGGTATAGCCAATGAATGTCACCAATATGTGCTGCGTGCATGTGCGCAGCTGCAG